GAGATCTAATTATATGTAACTTGCATGCATCACACAAAACTGAGAGAAGATCATTCGGTGAAGTGGGACCTGTTTAGGAAATGGGAAATATTTAGGTATTCGTAGATTCTAAGGAGATAAAAACATAAATGCATTTTTAGTATTTTATGTATCTGCTTTGTTAAATTATTGAATATATCAGTATCTGTGTATTATGGTAGATAACTGATACCATTACATAGTTTGTACACCAGAGATGTTTACATTGTAAGATGTTCCACTCAGTATGTATTTTTAGTCACAATTGAAACAAAAGAAATCCAAGGGATCTGCATTAAGATGTTGTTACGACTTTTTTTTTTTAAACTTCCAAAGCAATATCAGCCTCAAAAATGTAGTCTTGGTTGGGCTTGATCTGTAAACGCCAGACAGTGAGAGGAAAAGGAAGTGAAAACAGTCCTTAGACAGATTTCCATCCAAATCTTTCCAGCGAATTTGGCAAAAGATAATGCAAATGAATGCACGTTTCCATCCACAGTACTGTCACATGACACGACGTAATTAGAAGCGCGCCAGTCGAATCTCAAGTGGTGGAAAACTACACAGACGTGTGGACTTTATGTTTGTTTCATTGGTTTAAGAAAGGGAACCATATAGTCTCGTCGGTCGACACAGATCGGATGTTTACGTCAGCTGTTATTTTTAGTGTTTTCAAAGGATGTTTAGGTCACATGCTTCATATATGTCACAATTAATTTGACTTAGTTTCTCCACTCTCACTCAGGTTTTTTTTTTTTGAATGCACAAATTAAAACATTTGCATCAAAACAGGTGGATGGAGTTTGGTGTTCGTAGCGCCAAACTAATACATGGATTACAACTAATCCCTGTTGTCTTTAGAGAACTGGTTGTCACAGTTTCTAAAGACCAAAGGTCACTTCCTCAAATTGCTTGTTTTGTCTGACCAAACTCAACGATCATACAACACAAAGAAAAGCAGTAAACCCTCACTAACTGCGAAGCTTTAGCGGGGGAATGTTTGGCCTTTTTGTTTGAAAAATAATTGATGAATAGTTTATGCTGTGTTAGGGGTGCTCCCCTCAAAGTAATGGACTGGATTGGTGCCCATGTTACACAAACGTACTTGGAGCAGTATTGGCAGTGAATACGTGTTGCTGGATCATACTTTAACAATGCTGCTATTCAGTAAATGTGATACCACATTTTCTGAATGGCATTCTAGTCATGAGGAGTGGATTGTTTGTTCTTTGTTTTCACATTGCTAGGGATTTTATCGGCCATAAACATGTGCCGGCAATCTCAATAAATTGTGAGGCATTTTCTGAGATTAAACAAGAATTAAGACATCTACAATGTTGCTGTGTTGCTATTCCAGAGTCCTTTTTAAAGGGGGGAAAAACATCCACGCTTAATGATCTGTGTCTGTTGGTTTTAGGCCAGATACAAGCTCATGATTGTCTCATCGTCTTCTGAACAAAGACCAAACTTTAGGTTAAAAGAAATGAGGATGGAAGGATTGTTTGGACTCTCGCCGGCGTTCAGGCCGTAAAATCTTTAAGTTTCACTGAAGATCTCCTGTAAAATGCTCGATGAATCTTTGCAAAAATGACGTATCCATCGTGCCTTTTCCAAATTGCATGTTGATGTAATGTTGTAGTTTGTTGGTTTTGGCCATTGCAGACAAATACAGCATATAATGTATGAAATCCTGGTAGACTTCATGGCACAAAGACGCATTAAAACAGTGACCTCATGACTGGTACAAAGTGATGGACTCGTTTCCTGATAAAGGGAAACGATAGGGTTTGCTTTGCTTTTTTCTTTGTCAAACCCTTCCACCTACATTACCCAAAATGCAACTCAATTGCCGACAGTTTAGTCTGAGGTTTGGGTGTGCTATATGCTAGTAGCTGCTTGGTGTAGTAGTAGCTCATCTCCTTACTGTCTATCAATCTGTCCAATCATATAAAGGCAAAAAAATAATCTTTTAAAAAATGCTAATAGCCGCTAATGTAGCCTTTAGCTTGCTGCAAAGATGAGGAGCGTGCTACAGACGTCTGGTAGCTCACTTCTTTCTAACTCCACACACAGATTTTTTTTTTCTTGTCAAATCATTAAACCCCAACCAACGGTTCCTCAAGTGATATCACTGTGACCTTAGTAGTTCTCCTCAAGTAAACAAACATTTAAAATGTGTAAAATCTGTGGAGTTCCCAAAACATATAATAATAATTTATGTCTGTTTTTCCACAAAAAAGTTCAATCAGCAGATTTATAAATTCTTAAGACTCGTTCCTCGAATTTTAAAATATCCAGAGTCACATTTCTCATTTGAGTTGACTGAGAAAGCTCAATTCAAATGAGAAATGTGGGCAAAAACCAGCTGACTTTGGTTCTTGCCCACATTATAATCCCACCCACCTACATTAATATTTCTGTCTACTTGGTTGGCTGTAATGTCACAAACTCGTCTTGTTCGAACACGTGTTACACTTAGATTTAAGGTGAACCCCCCCCCCCCCCCTCCTCCAGCAGTCTTCTGGCACCAAACCCAATCCTGCACAGTGAAGGTTAAACATCCAAGTGAAGAAAGAATAAGCAAAACACATTTCTGGAGTGGAGGGAGACCTTTCAAATCAACCACGAGGACAGAGATACGGCAGCGTAAATTCAAAGTTTACTCTGTTGATTGGGTGAACTTATTGCTTCTTCTTCTTCTTTTGAGAGGCTGGGGAGGATTTAAGAATGAACATGTCACATTCGGAAAAATATTTCATCAAGAACACAAGGACCCACTGGCGCTGTGGATGTTTTTTTGTCCCCGAGGAATGACCTCAGAGCTGCAGATAAATGTGGTTCCGCTCTCCGCTCGCTGCATCACATTTATGGACCGTGTGCTCCGTGTTTGAACTTGATTGAAGTTTTTTGTGAGAGGCTCTGTCCCAGCGCAACTTTTGAGATTGCATGTCCAAGCTGCGCCGCATTACATCATGAAGAGCCGAGCCAGTGACTTATTCAAGTGTAATGGGCAGGATAAGTGCTTGCTCGCTCTGTTCGCCTCTAATTGTTCACAGATGTTCTTGCACGCCTTTGTGTCCCACATCTTGTTGCAGCCACAGACGGTGTTCAGACTTTATTAGAGAGGGGAAACGTGGCATGGAGTGAGTGTTTAATTTGGCCGTTGTTCCTGTTAACTGGTTTTGGTTATTTAATAGGCGTTGCAGTCCACCGAACATGATACAGTTGAAACGATAAGTCCAGGTCTTGATCATAATTATACAGGTGATTTAAGCAGGTATCGATGAACGAGCCTGATGGCAAACGAGAGGAAATGAAAATGAGGAAGCACCACAACAAGCACATTCTTCTTCACCTCTGTTAATTCATGCAGCCAGTCATAGTCATAGTTGATCTACTTTGATAGTTGATTCATCATTTGAGGCATTTTTCAATAAAAAGATTCTCATCTTCTCACTCTTACAGCAATTTAGAGCTGAAATAATTAATTGATTATTCAATTGGTTGATCAACAGATCATTTGAAGACATCACACATTACTCTGGGAACTTGTTATGGCCATTTCATAGACTAAATGATGGATCAATAATAAAATGAATCATTAGCTGCAGCCCTGCTGCTTTGTGTAGCTATATGTTTCAGGGCTGCAGCTAAAGATGAATCGTTTTTATTAATCGTTGAAAATTAGTCAAATTTGACGTCTTCAAATGTCTTGTATCAAACTAGTAGTGTACAGTCTTGCTAGCGGTCTTTTTTTGTTGCTATATTTGCTTGACAATCAATTATCAAAATAGTTCCCTAGTTATTAGACTAGTCGTGCAACCTGAGGCAAAAAGCATGTAAGTTTTATGGAAAAAAAGACCTTACAGACTGTCAAGGTCAGTCCGTCTGTGAAATATCACTTTATTAGGTCGTAGTTCAGCAGCTTTACAGCGAGGAAAGAGCAACGGGACAGTAATGTAGTCAGTTTGAAGTCTGGTCGGGGTGCGCAGACGAGTCAGAGCCTCCTGCAGTCGGCCTATCTCTTCAGTATCACCATCCCCCCCTCCTCCCATCTGTATAAACGACCATGCTTTGAAGATGGGCCAGGCTGGGGCTGAGACCTTATCAGCGATGAGTTTAATCACTCCGCTGGCTGATGCTTGTAGGTACTGTAGTTACCATGGTTATACACCAAAGGCACTTCTGGAGCCTGCATTAGCATCGCAAAATATTCATTAATTACCCCGCTGAGTCGGCGCGATACAGCAGAGCTCACAGCAGGAGGGAGGACTGACAGAGGGCTCAGCTTCGGCATCAGGACTGTTTACACAATGCAGATGTTCACATCAAAGGGATATTATCTTCTCCTGCATTGTCTCCTCCGAGCCGAGCCACCTCCACTCGAGTCTTATCGGGATTATTTGCATGCAGAATATCGGCAGAAGAAGTCGGAACAACTCAGAAGCGCAGGACTTGTCTTCTCCATCTTCACATTAAGGAATCCTAATAGTATACGAGAGAGAGAGAGAGAGCAAAAAGCTCACACTTATTCAAAGCCCACCCTACAGAGGAATCTGCGGTCATTACAAGTTGGCAAAACACTGCTTTAGCTGCTGCAGCTGCAACAAACATTCAATTCATCAGTCTGGCCAAAGAAAATATGGCTAAGAATTTAGCTTTAATCAATTCAAGCAAACCGGGTCCCCGCCATGTCCTGTTTGGACAAAAAAAGCATTAAGAAGCCATCATTTTATTCAGTCTTTTTATGCCCACACAACCTATTATATTCCACGCTGAGGTTTATGACCCGTGATAACTTGGATTAACACTGTGCAGATGAAGAATAACAGCGGCAGTGGGAGGTATTTTGTCTATAGGCAGGCTGCCTTGTATCTCAACAGTGTTCCTGTGTGTACCCCTACAGTTTATTTTCATTTGTCTTAAAATAAATTTGTTATGGAGGAGCTTTATGCAGCCCCCCCCCCCCTTCAATCCCTAAACCCTCTCCCACAAGGTGCTTCAGTGAACCGCTGCTGCTTCAGTGTTTTTTAAATCCTCACGAGTTTCCTGCTTCACAACTCCAACCTATATGTCTCGAAAAACATCAGCGATCTTCCCATGTGGGTCGTGTTTGCCGGTGTGATGGAGAGTAGATCGTTTGGAGGCCTGAATAAGGATCTCCATATATAACCCTCCATATTATCTTGGATTCTGTATCATAAATAGGTCTTCCCCTTGGCCAGACCTTGGGAAAAGGATGTGGATGATGAGTGTGCCGACTCCTGGTTGACTTTGAGCCGCTGCGGCTGGTGGCCAGATGTGGAGACACTGCCCATCGCCTGGCCGCTCACGCTCCTCCTAGACCTTCTTTTTATCTGGTCTGTCATGAAGTTCAACCTGGTCCGGCTGTTTAGCTCACCTGGCTTCAGGTATTTGTGATTTTGGATAGTTGGGTTTATTAATCCTGCTCATGAATGGAGTACTCTGTGGTGGAACGTAACTATTTACATTAAATCAAGTATAGGACTTAAGTACAGTTTTGAGGTACTTGTACTTTTGTGCTACCTCATTCAAAACAATTCAGAGGCAAATATTATGCTTTCTACTCCACAAAAACCTGGTGCTGTATGTTTCTGCAGCTCTTTAATGTTTTCACCCCAGTGAGCTACATGTAACGCTGCACAGGAGTCTCTGTTTGGTTCAAACCCCGGTTTTGGAGTCGCGGTTCTGAGAGAGTTAAATATAGCAGAAACAAAAACAAATGCTTAAAGGATACGTTTCTTTCCATTTATTTTGAGCAGACAGTAGTAGAGAGCCAAAGACGGACACAGTCCTCATGCTTGGATCTGAAGTAGCATTTAGTCGACTGGCTACTTTGGTAAACTATTTTCATGAAAGTAAGGAGCATTTCAAACACTTCTGTATTACGCTGTACAGAAATGGAGCAAACACAACATGTCACAATAGGCTTTACAACTGAAAAACACCTCTAATGCTATAAAGTTCAATATGCAAAATACGTAGTATAATAAAAATATAACTTGTGCATTATGAGTGTTTCAATAAGCTCCACGATGGCTATATTAAAACACTGAAAGTATACAAAACATTCATCCATCGTCATCTGGCTGATGCCGTTGACTGTGCGTTCGCTTGTTGGATGTGTTTCCATGTTGTGACTGACTTTGCATGCCAATCATCACGTGTCGCTCACCACGACCACCGTACCATGACTAGTTAATACGAACACAGGAGCCGTTACAGCCCTCCAGGGAGCCGATATTGGTCAGTAGTCGGGCTGATTTGACACGTTTTGATCCTCGCAGAAGAGGTTATCATGTTAATCTACTACAGTTACCGTGGTGATAACAGTGAGTCAGCGTCACGATACCAGAAATGTACAGTGAGCTACTATAGCAGCTCTATAGAAGTGGACGGGATGACCTGGATTAACTTGTCTGTTCTCCTCACCAGCATGTCTTGTTCAAGCTCCACATATTTTCCAGGCATGTCAGGGTTCAGCATATATGACTCGCCGAGGAATCGGGTATTAAAGACGTTTGCTGACTCTCATGGAAATGTAGTGTGCAGCTGGACAAAATGTCAGTCTGGTTACACAGCTCGTAGTCTGGTTGGCGGGGGGACGTGTGGAGTATTTACGGTGGTATGAAACCTGCGTTTTAATAGAGGCCAGGACAAATGGTTTTCATTACTGGGCTTTTATGATTGCAGAAGTGAACTGGAGAAGCAGACTTTAAATCTTTTTTTACATGTGAGGGGGTTCTAAAGATCACTGTAGCTCTGGAGTGAAAGTTGAGAATAAGGCTGCAACTCATGATTATTTTCACAATTGATTAATCTGAATAGTTGTCTTAATTAATTAATTAATTGGTAAAAGGCGCAAGATACGAGATTGGGAGCATTTCGATTGCCTCTCAACAGCCCTCATCATGGCCAGGCCTGAGCTGACAGCTTGTAGCTAACGGTACAAAACTACGGCAAACCTGACCGAGCTAACGGTGTTCACCTGACAGGGAACCAGAGGGTGGGTGCTACGCTTCTGCTTTGTATCCGATTCCCATGTGGTATTGTTCATACATAGCTACTGCCACTTGCATATCTAGACCTATGTTTTTGGCATTGCGTATATACATCATGTTTATTGATGCACTCTTTGTTCTGCACAATAATTTAGGGATCTGGGGATAAATAAAGTGCTGTCCTGTCTTACAGGCCTATTCAACCTGCTTGTTTTGTCTTAAGATACAGTCCAAAACCTGAAGGTGTTCACCTTGATATCAGAGAAGGCAAAGAAATCCTGTAAATATTCATTTTTAAGAGGCTGCAACCAGCAATTTTATTTAAGAAATGACTTGAAAATCAAAATAGCTGCCAATTTATTTCGTCTTGATCGATTTAATCGTTTAAGCTCTACATGTGAAGGTCATTTCTCCTGGCGCGGCACAAGCAGCGAACATAGTTCACAAAGCCACCGATGGCTCGCCGTCTTCAGCTCCCGACTTCCTAATGAGGTCCGACTGAGCCGAGGCTTCATGCAAATTAACACAAGAGGCCTCCACCGACACCGCCGGGGTGTTTACGGCCCCGGCTTTAAACCCTGCACATCTCCTCGCCGAGGCCCGAGTGTCACATTTCTTGTCGGTGGATTAGCTCTCCATCGTGTCGTGGAGCCGTGGCCATCAGTGCCCATTAAACTGTCGGCCCCTCAATGGAGGTTTGTGCCCCTCGAGTCTGATTTACAACTCTAATTCAGAACTTCCCAGATATTTAGTTCGCTTCAGCCGTCGTGACCACAAACAACCGTTGACCATCTGCTACTGGATCGTTGGTTTCTGTATTTTTACATGGCCTGTCTGCTGGTTAATCTTCTCAACTGTTTGTTTAGTAATAAGTAATAGTCGAGAAAAATGTCCCAGAGCAAAAGGTAACGTCTTCCAATCACTTTGTTTCTTTGAACTTGGTAATATTTGCTAGAAAAATGACAAACTATTCATATCTTATCAAGATAGTTTCTGCTAATTTTTCTGTTGATCAACTGATCAATTAATCAGCAAAGTGTCTAATCTTTAGAAACTAACCATTATAATGTCCCAGAGCCCAATGTGTAAATCACTTGTGGTCTTACAGTAAAATGTATTCAGTTTAGGGTCATTTGTTAAATAGAGAAGCATCAAGTCCTTTACTTTGACAAGCCAGAACCAGATCATTTTGGGCTTAAAGATGAATGTTGATTTTCAGTCGGCTAATTGGTTAATCGACTAATCGTTCCAGCTCCGGTCTTTTTTGTTTTGATGATTTTGTTCTTTGTTTTCGGAGGTTAAGGCACTTCCTTGTTGTCATCTTACATGATCACGACAGGAGGAACTGCATGTTTAAAACAAAAAAAGATGCGCGACGTCCTGCTTTACATGTTGTTTGCATTGAATTTCAAATCAGTCACATGTTGATCCAGTCCAGTTCTTTCCACTTAGTTTCCAGGCAAGTTTCCCACACAGGTGTTTTTTATTGGCTCTTGGCTCTCTTTATGTCCACATTACCGTTGAGTTGGGGAAGATCCTCACTTGAGGAGAAAGTGGATGTCGGAGGGAGGTGACGATAAGGCTTTTATGTTGAGTTATCCTCATTTGCCTTGTGTTAGCTCCAGGGGACCATGTGACCGGCTCTCATTCAGGTCATGTCGGCCTGTTCAGCCTTTGACCCTCTTAGAAGGGAAGCCGGTCCCTCAATGTCCCATTCATGCCATACAGATGTCTGTGTGCGTTAACGTCTGACACAGCTGAGGTATGACGATCCCCTGACTGTCCTTCATTCATTGGCTAACTGTTTCTGTGCTGCGCTGGTGACAACAAGACCGATTCCTCCATCTAAAACAATACTTACATGCCTCAATGAACATTTGAAATAGTTTTTGCTTGCTGTAGTAATTCATCTCTGTTTCCAGAATGTTAACAATCCTTTTCAATTTGAGCTTGAAAAGTTGCTGTGTTGATGAAAGCAACATGCTGTAGCAACAGACTAGGGGAATACATCTCGATGCACATGAAGCGAGGGCTGGGCAATGTGGCCTACACATAAAATCACGTGCTATTTACAATTTAAATTCTTTTTTTTGTTTTTTCTTAAAAACAAACAAATAACTTGGATGCCTCTTGAAAATAATGTATTTCATCCCTTCATGTTAAATGTTGTGTAATAGAGATGGAGAGATATGATGGAGACAGATTACAGCGACTGTGTGTTGTTCCATTCACATCATGTGTGTGCAACATCAACGCATTGTCCTCTTCTTATACACAACCCTCCCTCTGTTGCTGTTGTATCTGATGGGAAACCAGCAGGCGGGTCTTACAGCCTTTTCATTTGCTCTCGCATTCTTCTTCTCACAAATGCGAAACTACGAGAATATGATCCTGCTGAATCAAATAAATAAAGCAGGTGTTTTAGGCCGCCGTCTTGTGCCACACACTCTGTTTTGAGGTGCTGCTGCAAGAAATCAATCGTGCTGCTGCTCTAGATTGGTGCAGACTTTAGACAATCTTTACAGCAGAGAGGGTTTTGCTCGAAGTTGCTGGGGACACAATGGGGTTTTTTGTGAACAAACTCCTTACTTTAATTAAGTAATAAAGAGTACAATATCTACCTCTGAAATGTAGTGGAGGCGAAGTAAAGTACAAGTATGTCAGTTTTGCACATAAGTACAGTTTTTGAGTACATGTACTTAGGTTGTTCTTCATCTCTTACATTGTTGGCACATTGTGAGATCTTTTAGTGACAGGAAGAAAGATTACATCAAGTAAAACGACGCCTCATTGTACATTTGGGCACCAGACTGTTAACGTATCTTTTAAAACCAGTTGTAATGGATGCAGTGACGCTCCCATGCAGGTTGTGTCTGTCTCCCAGCCACTAGGTGGACAGAGATCAGAGGCCTGGCGATGAGGACAGACCGGGCAGGACGGCCACATGTGTTCAGTAATAAGAGGATAAATCCTCACTTGACACAAGCTCGTTTGATCTGGGTGATTTTTGATGTGAAGCTCAGTGTCTGTGGTGTATTTTTTTTTTACCTTTGATGTGGTTCAGTCTTTATGACCTGTGCTGTGTTTTGTCTTTCGGGTTTCCGCTGATTGTCCACGTTGTATTAATCACTGTGTTTTTGTTTGAACGCAGAGTTCACCGTCTCTCATTTCAGCAGTGGTGGAAGAAGTATTCAGATCCACACTGTGGAAATACTCCTCTACCCTGCATTCAAAACTTCAGTAAAAGTATATACTGTAAGTAGTATCGGCTAAATGTACTTTAAAGTAAAAGTAGTCATTGTGTCAGTGCTGATTATAACTCCTGTCGTATACTGTTGGGTAGTTTAATCTACAGAAATGCAACATATTCTATCAGGTCGTAATGTGTTTGTAGCGTCTTTGTTCTGTGAGAAGCACGTACAAAGACAAGTCAACTTCTCGTGATCTCAGAAAAGCAGCCCTGTGTTCGACTTTGTGACGATGCGTTTTCATGCTGATCCAAGAGGGTTTTAAAAAAGTGTGTTTAGCTTAAGAAGTATGAGAATTTCTCAACTCGTATACGGAACACTTAATCCTTCAGTTTATGAAAAACATTCAAAATCAACACATCTGGAGATGCCTGGTTTTCACTGGACAGGATGGGCATGAAGAAAAAAAGTGAAATCTGTAAAGTAACTAAAGCTGTCAGATAAATGTGGTAAAAAGAACAATATTTGGCTGAGATGTAGTTGAATATAAGTAAGACGTTGCATAAAATGGAGATACTCAACTACACTACAAAAGTACCTCTGTGCTTAAGTGCAGTACTTGTGTACATGTTCTTTACTCAAGTACTCCACTGCATTTCTGCTGTGAATCTGGGACAAACTGTATACTCACCAAACTGGCTAGACTGCTTTGGTACAATCTGAATGACAATAGCTTTAAACAACTGACATTCATGTGAGCACCCTGGGGCGCTTTATTTTGCCTGTAGGAAGTCTGTTGTGGGGGCAAAATCGGTTTGGGTCAGGTCTCTTGTCGACACAATTAGGGTCAAATTGAAAAAAGCTCAACTTTGACTTGAATACATATAGATCTGCTTTTTCCAGAGGCGGCAGTTGGGATGTTTTTTTCTTCCATTATTACTTTATCGTCTCATCCTCCCACATCCCCAATACCCCAAAACCTGTTTTCCTCCTCTTGTTGTTGTTGTTGTTGTTGCCTTGGCGCCCAGTCATTTTGTCATCAGACTTAGTTTAGTGTGTCTGGTATGTCTGAGCATGATGCGCCTTCATTAACTAGGAGAGCAGATGAGTCACACGGGGGGGGGGGGGGGGCCTGCAGCGATCAGACACTCGTTTAGAAAGCCTCCGTGCTGCTGACCAGTTGAGACACGACACAGTTTAGTTGAAACATGCTGCTGCTGTGATAATCATTCACAAAAGTGACAAGGTGACCCTGGAGCTATTTGAATGAACAAAATGTTAAATATCTCTTCTAAGATGTGAAGATTTAATAATTTTACTCTGTTATATATGATTGTAAACTGAATATCTTATTGTGCGAGAGTAAATTGAGTATCTTTGTGTTTGAACAAAACAAGCTCTTAAAAGAGGTTTCATTCATTTTAAATGCCAAACAATCAATCAATTGATCTACGAGATAATCAGCAGATTAATCATATTAATGAAGGGTTGCAACGAACGATTATTATTGATCTGGCATCTAGTTTTTATTCAGTTAATCGATGTAATCAAAATAGTGAAAGTCCGCTATTATAGTCGAAAAACACCAAATATTCTGTTGATATTCAGATGCAGAAAATGATGTTTGAGAAGTTTTAACCAACAAATGTTTCGAATTATTGCATGAAAAATGACAATGATAAAAATGATATATAGATTGATTGATTGATTGATAATGGAAAATAGATGTTGCCTCAAATTGTTTAAATCATTTTGCACAGCAAAGATGCCATTCCTCTTTTTCTATTTTCTGCTGTTCACTTATATCACTAAAACCCAACCGATACTTGATGCTTGAGCCTGATACTGATATCTCTTTAAACATAAATGCATAACGTAAACAAACAATATTGATAAGTCATTTAATCCTTGATATTTGCCTTTTTTTAAAATTGACATTTTACTGTGTAAAAATCAACGTGTCAGCGCCCTCTGGTGGACAAACTATGTCACAGTGCCACTGTTTTTAAATGACTTTAAACCGCAATATCTACTGATCTGCAGTAAGGTAATACGGGCCGATACGTTGGTGTCGCTCTACGTGTCACATATAGCAGTCCAACCTCAGCGCAGCCTCACAGGACTCAGTCCAACACGTATTACCACTGTGATTGAGGAAGACAATCCTCTTAGCACAGAGCCTGCTTTCTTTCTAGGGCACTGAATGGTTCTCTGCAGAAGTGCTGTCAGTTCAGCCCGGCTGTCGGATATCCTCTCTCTGTTAACTTCCTTTGTCTGTTACATGGTAGGGTCTCTTTTGAAACACAACCCCCCTCTCCACCTCTTTATGGGCCTGAGCCGGCAGCTGCAGGGTTAATGTTTAGAAGCAGCAGCAGCACCAGCAGCAGAGGGGCAGGAGTTGTAGGAGGAGGAGGAGGAGGGGAGAAGGCGAGTGGCAGAGAGGTGGGGGCTGGTCCACAGCTGTTGTAGTAGGCAGGGTCTATTGGGGTAGGAAGCCTGCCTCACTCGCCCTGGAACAATGGGAGACATGGCAGCCTCTGCAGACAGCACAGACACACACACACACACACACACACACACAATGCACATGCCCAAGGACAGGCCTTCTCTAGCTGAAGCGTAGAGGAAACCGGCTTCCTCGCCTCGCTCGCAGGGTGACGGCACTTTTAACAGGGAGGAAAATAATCTCCGCGGCAACAGCAGCCGGAAAACCGAAATGTAAGGTTGTGTCCTTTCTGTTGCTCTCTTTCTTTTTTTTTTCACCTTTTCTTCTGGTGCCTTTCATTCTGCTGTGAGGAGACCTTTGGATGCGCCGACTGCATGACTGAAAAGGCAGCAAGAGGAAGGTGAGCTGACACAATATGTGTGCTTGATGGAGGGCGGGTTTGTGTAAACGTGTGAATGCTGATTGAATATTTACAGCTGACATGGTGTTTTCTGGGCTTCTAGTTGTGTCTTCCCGTTGTGATGGAGCTTCTGTATCTAAATACAGCAGATTTTTTACTTGTTTATTAGGTGATGTGACAGAGAGGGAACACGTGTTTTGTGAGGTTTTATGGTGTTGACTTAACATGAATGGACTTGATGATGACTCTTAGGGCAGGTCTGTGTGTGCGTGTGCATGTGTGTGTGTGTTTAGTTTAGCATTGGTATCCGTGGGCTAGCTTACATCTTAGGAGCTCTTTTACGACATGGCGTTGTTTTTATTTTAGCCGAGGAAATGCAGAATAATGTCTGGTTGTTTCGGTGGCGGCAAACAATGTGTCATAAATCTGCCAAATGTGTACGCCGATGGTGGACGGCGCAGCCTAAATGTTGTTTGTGTTTGATGAAACAAAAACACAGTTTGTGTTTTATCGGAGACGGAGGAGCCCGTGATGCGTTTCCTCCTCGGGTGTGTAGGTCGCCTGGCACAGATTTTCAGAAGCATCCCTGCGATCAGTTCGATTGCTCTCAGTCGTACATGGCGCGCATCCAACCTTTCAGGCCTTTTTGGGAAGGGAGCTCCCTTCCCCTCCTCCATCTCTCCCCCCCCCTCCCCCACTATCTCTCCACCGCCTCCGCTCCTCATCCCAAATATTGCTTGTGTACGATTCGTCTCGGTTCTTAAAGCCAAACATCAGACAGGAAGTGGCACCGAGGGAGCTCCCCCAGCCTGATTCTGTGTCACCCACATCCCTCCTCCTCTTTGATATTTATCAGTATTAATGATGCAGACAATCGTGTGGTGATGGTGTGTCTGCATCAAAAAAAAAAAAACAAGGGAAAAAACAAGACTTTGGCCTACATTTTCAGTCTTCCCTGATCTTGTTTAATTCCACCATGTAAGGATTTAAGTTTTTGTCACATTGTTTACATCTCCCGCCTACACACTTTGTCTACACAGCAACAACTTCAATCTGCGCCTTTCCCAGATTGGCAGATGGAAAGGGTGGTGTTTGACATATCCTGAGACGGCCTTGCCTTTGCCAAATCCCCAAGAGTGCGACTGACATGATTTAAGAAGCTTTTGTGCATTTCTTCTTCTCACTGCTTCGGCTGAGTCGCCTTTGAAACTGTTTTTTTTTTTCCCCTCCGCCCTCATTCCATGAATCTCAGCTACTCGTCGTCTTCTGCTGCATCATTCACTCAATATTTCATCATTTTCTCAGCGTCCAGCTGTCAGAAATCAAAGTCTGTCCTCTGCAAATATATGCTGGTGATGTGAAATGGCCGAGGTCTCTTGTGCTTTTTAATTTTTGAGCCCTGTGATCTGCAGTCTTTGTGATCGTGCTCTCATGACACAGATCCCGGTCGGCTTCTTTTCTTAGGACCAGGTGTACTGAGGAGGACACTAGCAGACCAGGTGATCTGCTCTTACTCTATTAAAACCCAGATTGAGAGGGCAGATGCTCAACACCTCTAATCCCATTTCAGTTTGACAAGCTCTAAAAGGATCAGGCCGTGTTACCCTTTTGGAAATGAAGAGTTTACGCCGTGGCTCGGCGTCTAAACATACCTTAGGTGATCAGACAAAATGCTGGCTGCAGAGACGCTGCCGCAGACGGAGTGTTCCATTTAGGCTCTAAAGGAAACCTTTGTAGCAAAGTGAACATAATTGACAAGGGACTCTGTTAATGGGGAATCCCACATTACACCGAAAACTTTCAAAAGAAATCATTGTGTGGCACTTACTGTGTACAGTCCCGTGTTGGCAGAGAGACATAGAGGGGGAGTTCTTAAACGCGGTGTCTGCTTAATTATTCATCCGTCTTTCTTTCATTACACTTTACAATGACTCAGAGATGAAAGGGAAGACGAGAGGAGGAGAGCGAGATAGAGGAGTGGGGGGTTTGTGGTCTTGGCATTGCTGGCGTCTGCCGAGCGCTGGTATCTCCCGAGAGCAATGGAGCGTCTTCCTCTCCTCCCCGATTTCCTGTTAACTAAGAGATCGAAGGAAAGCTGCAGCCTTTGCCCGCCACACAACAGAGGTGACATTGGTCGTCTTCCCCCCCCCCCCCGATGACCCTAAAACACCCGCCATCAAGCTTAACTCTTCAAGATCTCATGCCAAGCGGACAAATCTTGTTTTTATTTTCACCAGAAAGCCTGATGGAGAAAGGATAAGCCTGAGGTTTTATTTCTTTATTTAAATGTGTCGTTGTGTTTTCTCTCCCTCAGCTCCTTGGTTTTGTTGTTGGGAGACAGAGGTGCCTGACAGGAGACTGACTCCTCTTCAAGGATCCTAACGAGAGCTGAAACTACAGGTGAGTGTCTTCACCATGTAGTCAACTGTATCACTGATCTCGGGTTACAACTAGCTATAGCAGATTAATCGTTTGGTCTGAAGAATGCTGCCAGAGGAAGGTGATAGTTGTTTTAGGGCTGCAGCTAGCAGATGTTTTCATTCTCGGTTAATTTGCCGGTTGTTTTCTTGATCGATCAGATCTCAGTTTCGTCCAGAGGTGAAACATGCCCTCAACATCTGGGTGTTTTGTCCAAAACCCAAAGATATTCAATTTACAGTGATATAAATCAGGACAAAGAAACAAATCCTCACATCTGAGAAGCTGGAACAAAAGAATGTTTATAATTGACTGAATCAATTCATTGATTGTTAAAATGATTTTCTGCCGATCCAGTAATCGATAAACCGCTGTAGTTTCAGCTCTAATTAGCTTGTTTTGACGGAATTAAAGTTCAAAATCACCAAAATACTCAGAAAAGCAGCAAATTGTCACAAAAAAGATAAATCAATTACCAAAATATGTTTTGCTTAATCCACAATAGAGCTTTTGATTTGCTGGTTTGTCCCAAACCAAAGTATATCAATACCGTTGTGTGTGTGTATATATATACACTATATACTTACCGTTTTATACGTCAAAGAAGAACAGCAAATTGTTACATTTTAGACGGTGGACTCGGACAATGTTTGACTGAATGTGTGATTGTCAAAATAATCGCAGAAATGTTTTTTTAATTAATCTTTTAATGTCAGAGATTAGTGAAATCGTCCATCAAAGTTTCCCAGAGCCCAATGGGACGTCTTTAAATGTTTAGTTGAGTCCAAAACCCAAAGACATTCAGTTTCCAACAATACAAAGCTGTATATGCTCAAATTTAAGAAACTAGAGCCAGAAAATCTTTTTGACATTATTTTTCAATCGCCTAATGGAATAATGGATTAACTGTTAGCAGCGAAACGTCACAACTAAGAAGCTGGAGAACTTTGTGATCTTCACCACTTGTAATTTAAAAATACCTTAAATGATTAATCGGTTATCAAAGTAGCTGTCTGTTCATTTCCTGGCGATCAACTATGATCAATCTACCGATCATCCGGGCATCTTATTTGTTCGTTATTGACAGAATGTGTAACGGTTTGTAGTTAAAATCAGCTCCCTGAATCGACAGAGTCGAAGATGAATTCATCGCTGACTTCCTGTCCTCGGTGTCTCTGCTTGTTTGTCGTCGTGCTCGTTGGTATCACTGAAAATAAAAGATAATAAAAACACTTTCTGTCTCGGTGATAAAACGCCCATGAAAAGTGACACCGACCTTTGCAGAAGTTGCTGCTGGGTAATTTGTTTAGAGGACACCTTGGATATTTATTTACAGTAAATGACACGTTGGTTTTCCTCTGGTGTCAAGTTGCACTTTATTTGTGTGCTGATGAATGCTCACTAGTTCTCCCCACAGCTCACATTCTTCATGTTCAGGTATCCATTGGAGAACAAAAGCAGGACATGCTCACTTGGCTCGGAGGCGAACACATGAGCCTCTCTGTGCTGTTCAGTGATTGGACCTTCAAGCTGCGACAGCTGAGCTTCGTTGCTCTTTGTTTACACTTGGCAATGTTGCGTTTAGTTGCTGTATCTTTTTTGAGAGGGTTGGATTTTAAAGAACAAAACAAAAAGCTCTGTGCTGATGCTGACCTTTAGTCTTATCTGTTCTTTTATTTGTCTTCCTCCTTTGTCCTTTTTCCTATCTGTTACAGCATTGTTTCTTTTATTCGCTGCAATCATTTTTATAGTCGCAGTAAAAAAAGAAATGGGCAGTATGCATTACACTTAGACTTCCCCTGTGAAGGTATCTCATCAGGGCTGCGAATAACTATTAGTTTCATTATCTATTAAACTGATGATTATTTTCTCAATTAATTGATGTATCGTTTGGTCTACAAAGCTCAAAAATGCTCCCACATTCCACAAGATAATGTCTCAAACAGTCCCAAACTCATGTAGTATTATTCAGTGTACATACATCACAAAGGAAAGGCGTTTAAATTGTCACATTTGAGAAGCTGGAACCAGTAAATGTTTGGCATGTTATCTTTGGAAATGACTACAATGATTAATTGATTAGGAAATATATACAGATTAATTTTCTCTCAATCGACTGATCAATTAATCAACTAATGGTCTAATCGTTGACGCCTTACTCATGAGGCTGTTTTAAATGTTGCTATACTGTTTTCCTCTGCCTCTAGCCTCTCTCATCCAAACAATTTGTGTCTCTCCTTATCTTCAATAAAAAAAACGTTATCCTCAATTTTATTGCAAAATTGCAATTTTTCCCCCACTGTGGTTTAAAGTGACACTTCCATAAAGTTTGGGGACTTAAAGAGACAGATTTAGAGACCAGATTTGGTAAAAATCGATGGCGCAGAGGCCGAGATATCCTGAGATTTAGTCTCTAAATGTCAGGAAAACGATGGAACCTGCATTTCCCACAGTGTAACTGCAACATTTCTTTTGAACTCCAGACCTCCAGTTTGTAACAGTCTTAAGACTCGAGCCCCAACCGAGGTAATCCCTGATGACATCGCCATGACATCATCATGACATCATCAGGGTTATTTTGTCAGACTTCTCAAAAGTTCCCTTCAGAGCCACAGAACACAAAATACAACAGTTTTCACAAGTAGTTTCACAGTCGGAGGGAACAGCTGTTGTTTTGCAAAAACAAATTAGTAATAATAATCTATTGATATAATATATAATAATAGTATAATATTCAATCATGTTCCTGATTGAACTGACACGCTTTTACTTAGCGTAGGATACAGGACTTTTAACTTGTAACAGAGTACTTTCACAGTGTGGTATTAGTACTTCAGTAAACTTGAGTAAAGGCCCTGAATACTTGCTTCACCAGTGTACAGAGCAGCATCATTAACTCTCTTTGCGTTCCCATTACATTACATTACAGTCATTTAGCAGACGCTTTTATCCAAAGCGACTTACAATAAGTGTATTCAACATCGGTTTTCGAGAGAACAACTAGTCACCAGAAGTAAAAAGTGCATGTCCTTTCCTCAAACAACCATCTAAGAGCATAAACCAGAGCCAACGTACAGTGCAGAAACAAGCGAATGCAATAAGTGCCACAAACTAATATAAAAACAATAAGTGCAATAAGCTAGTATGAATACAATAGATGCTAAGTAAGTGCTAAGCGGAAGGGTAGGCCTTCTTGAAGAGGTGAGTTTTCAGCCTGCGCCGAAAGATGGGCAGCGACTCTGCCGTCCTGACGTCAGTGGGGAGTTCATTCCACCACTGTGGGGCCAGGACAGAAAACAGCCGCGACCGGGTCGATCGGCCGCAGGGACCTCTGAGCGACGGGGCGAGGGCTTCTCGTGGCTCCTCTCTGACAGCACCAGCGGCTGTAAGTCTGCCAGCAGAGCTCTGTGGAAGGAGCTCCCTGACACTGCAGCCCCAGTGGGACACATTGACCCTCTCCTCTGCCCCGTCAATGAGCCTCTGTGTGTGTGTGTGTGCACAGTCACTGGCTCCCAGTGCACCACCATGATGACCATACTGCAGTTCACAAAGCAGCTGGCAGCGTTCTCCCCTCTCTCTGCATTTAAATTCAGTCATTAAGATGTTTAAGTGCTGTACATCTGAGATTAAAAAAAGGGCATTAAGGCAAGATATAAACGAAACACAAAGCTATATAACAAACAAACTTCGAGCTGCAAAAGTCATTCGCAGCATTTGCGTTGCTTGGTAAGCAGATCTCGTTTGTTCCATATTTGTTCTGCCGAACAACGGAACTGATCAAACTAAAAATTATATTTTGATCATCTATATTTATCATTTTAGTCATTTTTTCAAGCAGATCGTTCTGGTTGCAGCTTCTCCGATATGAGGATTTGCTGAATTTTTTTCTTTTTCAGACTGTTGTTCGGGCAAAACAAGACATCTGAAGACATTGTACTAAACTAACTACTAGGAAAACCGGGATGGACATTCAAAAATAGGCAGATTAATCAATAATTAAAATAATCGTTAGTTGCAGTATTTTGTCCCTAAACGTTTAAGTTTTTATAAACCAACAGTAGTATTTTAATAAGCCTGTGCAAAGGTCTGAGCACTGGAGTGATTGTGTGATTAATAATCATGTTCTCATCAGTTGATCTGGTCTTTGATCGGATATTAACAGGTCTTAGATCCAGCACTTGTTTTAGGCCTGTTGGATTCTGGGTGAAAGGGACTCAACTTGTTTTAAGAGATGCTTCTTTCTGGTGGCTTTTTCAGTGAGGCTTGTGACGTTAACTCTGCACATCAAAAAGAAACCGCAGCCGCAGAACCACATTCTCATGTTTATATTTAGCTGCACTTCTGTTTGTCTTTTTCTCCACGCTGTAATTTCCATGTGAATGTTCGCACAGGGAGATGAGTGCTCGTATCTCAGCCCTGCTGCCCCGAGCTTTAATGTGCATTAGGTGAAGAGAAGAGCTGGTATTTATAACCGCCCTGTATCCAGGGTCAAACGGACGGCTAATATCTGCTTCCGTTCTTGGATGGGCCGCATTGATCAGCCCTCCATTATACGTGTAGATTTAGCTGCGTTCAGTCAATCGCGGCTCAATAAGCTCCCTACACTTTGGATGGCGCTGCTTAGGTTTGTCAGTCAGGCTTCACAATCCGCAGTGACGTTCGATAATCTTCCTGTAAACGCTTCGCAAACAGCTCCAGTTACACGAGGCCCAGCAGGTCTCTACTGATTTCCCAGTAGTGAGTTTTATACTCTCAGTATGTTTGATACTGGTGCCAATGAGGTGACGCATTAGGGCTGCAACTAACAATTATTTTCATCATTAAATCTGATGTTTTTCTCAATGAATCAATTTACCTTTTAGGCTATAAAACATTACAAAAACTTTTAAAAAAAATAAATGTTGAAATGCCCAAAGTGATGGCTTCAAATGTCTTGATTTGTCAGACCGTCAACGTGCAGCCCAAATATATTTAGTGTACTATGATAATGACATAGATAAAATAATCTTCTCTGCATATGAGGAGCTGGAACGTTAAAAAATGACTTAAATGATTAATAGATTACATGAATGAATGCCAGTACATTGTCAGCTCTACTTCTTACTGTGTACTGTAAAAAAACTTTTCTACAAAAGCTTTTTTCAATTTAAAGGATAAAGCGGCTGTTATGTATTGTGAAGAAATAACATAAAAAGACCAAAACAATGTGTTGGTCTGTTTCTCAATACAGTTTCACCAGGCTGGCTCTAAGCCCTAAGACCATTCATTCTAGCTGAAGACATAAATCTTTTAAGCAGCTGTAATCAATTATTTTATACCAACAATGGATCACATGACTGCTCGTATGTGAAAGAAGTCACTTCTAGTGATGAAACCACAGAGCATCTTTACAAATCATTACAGACTCTGCAGTTCACTCGACAGAGTCGGAGACTTTACAGAGCTTTTTACCGTAATTCAGCTCATGGTTTTGGTTTTATGGCCAGCGACTTGTTTTGGTTCACCCTCAGCACTCTGATAACTCTACCTGACAGACAAAACCCGATGGCGAACATAGGGGAGGATTTGGCAGCTGAGGGACCACAACAAATCTGTGAATGCAAATCTGTGAATGCAGGATTAAAAACAGGTCAGGTATACAGATAGATTTATATACTTTCATGTCTAAAAAAGGGTCAGTAATTTCCTAAACCAGCCGAACACTAGTTGTTGGCAAAAATGACACAAAGACGGGGATTTATGTGCATCTTTGGCTGCGGATTAGTCCACATTTGGTGCTCTAGTGAGTATTTGGGTAGCAGGACCGTGTATGGGGGATTGAGTGAAAATGAATTACAGTGTGTGTTCATGGTAATGAAAGAACATGTCACCCAGTTCACTGGTGTGTTTTTTATTTTATTTTAGAGTTTCTGGACAACAATGGAGCTCCAGGGCACAGATGAATAATAAATATCAGGCTTTGGATACACAGACGATACTTGTTAGTATGATCATTCATTGTTGGTTTTGTTCTTTTCATGGGATTTAATGACAATAAAAAATAGGCCAAAGGATATCGATAGGAAATGTCTGATAATCTGACCAAAAATGTAGGTACGTGATGGTTTTCGTGTGCTGAAGACACACTTTAGTTGTGTGGTCCGCTAAATGTTTGAAGCTTTTTTTTGTACTTTTACACGTCGGTGGTGGTTTGTTTGTGTGTCACCTGTAAACTGTGCCAGTTCCTGATTGGCCTCCAGCCACAGAATTAGGCTCGTCTCATCCGCTCTAATGACTCCTTAAGATGTGATGGTTGGATCTGGGTCCATGTCGACACACCTATTTCCCCTCTGACAACACACACACACACACACAGTCTCACACACAGTCTCACACACACTTGGATCCATGCCTACTAGACTGGTCCTCAGCCATATGTCCTGCAGGGTAGCGTGCTCACAAACTCAGGCAGCCTGTGCAGCTCAGCGTGGTTTCTGCAGGTTGAGCTGGTGAACTCGTTGAAGCTGCAGAGGAATATGGACGCCATTCTTTCTCTACAGTCCATCTGAAACTATCTGAAACGATGCAGGATGGATGGATTAATGTGCTCAGTAATCCTAAATACACTGTAGGTATGATGTCTCAGCCCTGTAGATGAGACCATGTCAAAACTCTGAAGCCGTGTTGAAGCGAAATGTTGTGGCTGTCGGATAAACGGAATATAAACAGTGCAACGGTGGTAATATTGTTAACGTCAGTGTTGGAGATGAGAGCTGTGTCTGATGTGAAGCAGACCTCAGCGCCGTTAACTGGTTTACTGCAGAAGGACACATCAGATACAGTCAGGTAGGGCTGCAATGATTAGTCGATCGACAGAAAATCTATTTGGATTAATCATTTAAGTCATTTATGATGCAAAAGTTCGCTATTTCCGTGTTCTGAAATGAGGATTTGCTGCATTTCTCAGTTCTAGATTAGATCAAATTGTATTATTTAGTAGAGACAACAAAATGCAGTTCAGCATCTTATCTAAAGTGCCGAAAGCAGTAGTGCAGAGTACTATACAGAATAAACAGTAATAAATAGCCTCTAAATCAAGCAGTCAGGGGTAGATATGGATATGCTACGATACATACAGTATGATCATCATCAATATCTGAATATGAACTTTTACAGTTTTCAGTCTTATTTACTTTTATGTAATTTCTTCAAACGGCGTTCTCCTTACTGTGATTATAATGTTGATGCATTCATTATGACTGTAAGCTCAGCAATTATCTTTACAAGGCGCAGTGAGTGCTTAGTGGACTTCTTTTGCCCTGGGCTTCACCTCACAGGCGGCATTCAGGCTGCACTATGTGATTAGGTTGTTGGGAGAGGAAGACACAGCAAAGGGCTGAAACAAGATTCAGCATTTCCAACTGTTTTTGTTGGATTACCATTATAAGGGAAAGCACAACAACCTATTTCAATGTCAGTCACATTTGGGAAAGTGATTTAAATATATTTATTATGACAAAGTATAATACATAATATTTTAGCATTTGATAAAGATTGTCATTTTTGTAGTTGAAGGGATGCCATTGTTTGGGTTGTCTTTTACTTATAATGTACGCTGTTATTGACTAAACTAATAGTTTAAATGAATTTGTTAATTCCTCTGTAGAGCAAGACAGTTGTTTATAATGAGACTGAATTGATCTTTCTAACGTGTAACTTTTCATTTATTCATACGTTAAACTTTGATATGGAGTTACCACTTTCTGAGTATTTATTTTACCTTCCCACAGACTTAAAGGCAGTACTGGTCATTTTGGAGAATAGAAAAGAGTGATGCTACACTGTAGCTGTACAGTAGCAGCTACAGTCATCATAATGTGTTGTGTTCTAGATTATGAATTATTATATAAATGATATTATATAAAAAGTACTTGAGATATTTTTTTGTTTATGAGGTGAAAGCCCCTGACTTCATCGTGTCCCCCCCACCTCTGAAACCTAACCTACGTTCTTGCAGGTGTGGATGAACAGATCTAATGTTTCCTTTCCTGATAATGACTCTGACACCTCAACTCAGGGAATCTCCAGATACAGAGTACTATCGATCCGACGCGGGTACTCACTTTTTCACAAATTGAAAATCTGTATACCTTACTGCTCTGAGCTCATTGCAATTATTTTACGTGAGGTAACATGAGACCAGGGGTTGCTGATATGTAACTAACGGAAACAATTATTTTTTTATTATGATATCGACAAAGTATTTAATGTGCTGCATATCAGATCGGTGCATACAGTAGGAGCAGGGTAACCGCTTGTGACGGGTCAGCTGTGAGGTATCCTACCAACGTTTAACTATCTCCAAATCTGTTCCTAAATACTGTCAGATCCATATCTGTTCAAATAATCTGTTGTGTGTATGAGAATAACCTTTTATATAGTAGCAATTGTAGCTTCAGCGCAGGGTAGCAAAAATAAATAAGATGTACTGTAACTTTTAAGAAATTGAGGGCATTCTTATAACGTTGGTCACCGTCCAGAGCGGCTAGTGTTTTATTACCGCGTGTTTTCCCAGAAGATGACATTTTATTGCTGTAGAGATTGTGATGGTGATCGTTGCAGTGTCACCTTGTGTGTTTACAGATGAGAACAATGTCTGATGAGACAGAACAGAGGATGTGTGATGAAGACTTTGGTTCGGACGAGGAAGGCGAGGAGGGAGACGTGGAGTCCATTCTGGAGGACAACAGCAGCGAGCTCATGGACCGACTGAGGGAGCTGGAGGTGAGGAAACAATAAAGACACACACTATCACTCATGCAGTTAGAATTAAATTGATAATGAGCTTGTTTTAACCATAACAAAGTGTAAGAACAACAATTTGCCATTTTATTTGACTGGGACCAGTTTGCCTGCATTTAATTGTTCTATATAAGAAGTAACACTGTGTTCACGTCTGACTAATGTTTCACCAATTCACCTGTATTTCTTTTATTCATGTGTGCTGGGCAGTTAAATGTGCATGGCACAATACATTACGTTTGTGTTTAATTGTTGTTTTCCTCACAGGCAGAAAACTCTGCTCTGGTGTTGGCGAACGAGAGTCAAAGAGAAGCTTATGAGAGGTGCTTGGATGAGGTGAGTTCATGTTGCAGAATATAATGTAGAAACTAAGAATACAATTATGAATTCTGCTCAGCTAAGTCGTTCTGTGTAAAATGTGATGTTCTCTGGTGTTATCAGGTGGCCAACCACGTGGTCCAAGCTCTGCTGAATCAAAAGGTAAGGGAAAGCTGCATTGCTGCGTCTGTGTTTGGATTTTAAGCAACTGTAGCATCATCAGTTGTCTCACTGCTCCGTGTGTCTCTGAACAGGACCTGAGAGAGGAGTGCATCAAGCTGAAGATGTTGGTCTTTGACCTGGAGAGACAAAACCGAGCGCTTTGTGAGCTCTTTCAGCAGAAACTGCCCAACCACCCCACTGCTCACTACCAGGTAAATCAGCTGTAGTGATTCATAAGTGACTGTGTGTCACGTGCACTCTGAACTTCTTCCACTGAAGCCTTGCGGAGTAGTACTGCTTATGTGAATCAAGCCAAGAAGCCTTTTGGGTCTCCAGAAGGAGCTCTGTGAAGCTGCATAAATGTCCTTGAGTGATGTCACTTGAATCAGTGTCGTTTCAAACTGAAGACTACAAATTTGAAAGTGTTATAAATCTTTGGGCGTGGAATTAGAAGAAAGTAAGCTTACCGGACCTCTCGAGGCCACTGCTAATCTCCGCTTTAGGCTAGCAGCTTGAGGTTGCATTAGTCACTACTAGCACATCCAAATCTCCTGCTGAACTCTCGGTGGTCGAGTTGCATTGTGGGTAATGTAGGCGCCATGTCAAGGAAGGCGAATGTGTGAAATACATTTTAAAAATGTCTCTGGTTCTGCTGCATATATTTTTATCCTGATTTTTAACTGTCAATGACAATGTTGTTGAAGTGCATTGATAAATCGGTCTTTTAAGTAAAAGCACAGAAGTATTATCATCAAAATGTACTTTAAGTATCAAAAGTGCTCATAATACAGAATGTCCCTATAGATTGTAACAATATTATATATTTTTCTTTTATTTGCTTAATAGTATTAATGTTGTAGAAAAGTGGAGCTCATTTAAAGTAGTTAAACTACCAGTTTAATCTTTAAAAAAAAATAAAAAAATTCACTTAAACACAGTACTTACTAAATGTATACAATGCACAGCTCTGATTCTCAAAAACCAGAGGGAGCTGCTAATTTCTTTTTCACCTCAGCCTCATTCTTTCAGACGCTGCTGAGCCAGTAATGGATCTCAGGCTTTTGACGTCTGCTCTATATTGTTCCAACAGATGCCAGGACAATATAGCTACTAGTTGTCTGTGTATACAATAAGCTGTAGTGTATACAGTGTCATCATAATTGCCTAATGATTCTCCCATTACAGGTCCAGGCAGGACCCCTCCCAGACTACAATGCACAGCTGCACAATGACTCTGCCAAACAGGCGGAGCCTGCACAGACTGAAGCACAAGCCAAGGTGATTATTCCAAAGCCTTTTCCAAACATTAAGAATGAACCAACAGGATTATATCAAAGCCTCTTAGTGAGACCTGTGTGTGACGTTAAAACATGCTCTGACATTTGCTCTGTTTTCAACTATTGTGCTTTAAAAAGCTGATCTGCCCTGTACTCATTTCCTGTACGCAAACGCTCTAAAGGTCTTGATGAAATACATTGTTTGGCCCCGCATTGAATCGTATGCTGATGGAGATCTATTTTTGTCCAAAGGGAAATGGCTACCGCACACAGCATGCCTCCCCGGGCCCTCGTGGCCCTGCCGCCTCCATGGAGGCCCTGTCTCCCTTCTTCAAGAAGAAAGCACACATCCTGGAGGTACTTCGCAAGATGGAGGAGACGGACCCTCTGAAGTTCCACCCGTCCACCGCAAGCTTGTCTTTCTGCGACTACAGCCAGGTGCTTATGTCCACAGAGGCTGTTTTGGCCACTGCGGACCCCGTTCCACTACCCTGCAAATCCCACCACACACACTGCCACTACTCCTGCTCTGACACTGACTCACACCAGCGGGTCAACGGCGACGGGGCAGTGAAGTGTGAAATAGGGAACACCTGCTGTTTACACTGCAAGAAGAGCCCAGACAGTCCTCCAAAGCCATGCAACCACGTCTGTAGTCCTTCAAAAGCCAACTCAGCCACCCAGAGCCATGTAGTTCCTGCAGCTGCTACAAGCGAATGTCACAGTAAGAACCGAACGGCGGAGTCTGTTCCCCCGTCTAAACAATGCACCAAGAATGAAGCCCACCAGCAACCAGCAGGCGCTACCGCCCACTCCTCAGTCACGGAAACAGCCGATCAGAATCTGGAGGTGATGGATGTGGAGCAAGAGCAGGATAGCTCTGAGAGTTGTCTAAATGCTAGTGTCTCTGAAGAGCTCACAGGTTTCTGTCCCACCTCCCACCTGCCCAGTTCTGTGAAGGAGAGCGCACAGATCTCCCACTGTGACATGGAGACGCTTGATGGTGTTCACAACGGCGTCGAGCCTGCCATGTCGAATGACCCCTCAGCCGTCCCTGAGAAAGACTGCACAGATCAGGAGGCTTCTTCTGTGAGAGCCAGTGCCACCGTCAGCCCCAGCACGTCGTGCCTCACTGACGTCAAAACCGCCGCCATCAACTCGCCGTCCAAACTGCTCAAGTTCTTGAAGATTCCCACGATAGGGGAGAAGTCTCAACCTTCAACCTCTGCCGTCCGTCTGAGCCCCCAACTCACCCGCAGCTCCAGGATCCCTTGTCGCACAAACAACTACGAGGTGTACCACTCGCCTGTTCCCACACGCAGAGCCACCACCACAGAGAGGTGCAGGCAGCCCCCTCCACCACCCTCCAGGTCTGAGTCCTACCCCGCCACACACTCGGCGCCAACCTCACCTCCTCAGCCTGAAGAGGTCTCCGCCTCGCCCGCTCAGGATATAAGCTACAGCAGCTTCTCTGCACCTAAAGCCAGTGCTGCTTCAAAGATGGGAGCTCCTTCCTCCGCATCCTCATCCTCACCCAAAGTATCTCAGAGGGTCCCTCATTATGAAAATGTCTGCGTTATGTCTACCAACTCCAGAGAGGAGGAACCAACCCAGGGCCTTGAAAAGAGAACCACACTTCCATCCCAAACAAAGGTGAACGGGGGTGAGAGGAAGCTTGTTAAATCGCTACCCGAAAGTGTCCTCAACCCTCCTCAAAGAAAGCAGTCGTCCTCGTCCACGTCAGAATCCACATCAGATGAAGAAGAGGATTCAGACAGCCCAGTGTGGGTTAACCACCACAGCTTGCCCAACACATCCGCCATCAGCAAGGTCGCACAGGGCAGAGCCAACTTCTCACAAACCAGAGAGAATCCGGCGGCAGATATGAGGGAGATCACTGTGCAGAGCTCTGAGGTTGTTCAGCAGCGGCAGCCGCCACCGCCACCTCCAGTCAGGAGGAGCGACTCCTCTTCCATCCCCAAGAGGCCTGCGGCCGGGGCGCCGAGACCCCAGGCTGACTCCAGTCACCACGCTTTCAAAGACAGGCTGGCTGCGCTTGGAAAGCTGAGGAGCTCTGAGGATTTACAAGTCAATCTCAGGCCGGTCGACACAGTGAATGAGGGCACTTATGAAGAAGAAAGGAGCAAGGAGCCCATGGAGCTCCAGAAAGAGGAGCAGAGACATTCAAAATACACAGACTCTATGGACAGTAAACCTAGAGTTATTAGTGGTGGTTTGAAGTACCCGGGTTCATCTCAGCTGTATGAACAGGCTGTAAAATATTCTGGTTCAGCGGTGGTTAAACAAGAACTGTGCGTGACCAAGACAGAAGTCTCAAAGAGTAAAATTGGTCTGCCGTCCCCCAACACAGATGCTCCACAGGTACTACGCAACAACATTAAGTGTCCTGGCTCCCTGAATCTGGCCTATAACCTTAAACCAGGTGTTGGTCCTCACAATAGCAACAGCCCCAACAAAATTCCCCCAAAGTCGCCGTCCAAACCTTGCCAGGGCACGTCCGTCCACAGAGGGGGGAAGCCCTCAGAGGCCCCACGTTACTCGTCCAAATCAGAAGAGAGGACCAAGATCAGCAGCAAAGGGAAAAAGAATCCCATGTTTGGCGACAGCCTGCCGCCTCCTCCCCCGAGACCTCCAATGTCAGAGGGGGAGAAGCCGTTGCCGCCAGTTCCCAGCCCACAATCTGCCATCGAGCAGAAGGTTATGAAGGGTATCGAGGAGAACATGCTGAAGCTCCAGGTGCAAGACAGAGGAGGGCAGGGCATCGAGGTCAAGCAGAAAGCCTCCAACGGCATCGCTAGCTGGTTCGGCCTGAAGAAGAGCAAGCTGCCAGCGCTGAGCCGCAAGACGGACGTGACCAAAGCAAAGGACGAGAAGAAGGAGTGGAAGATCAACATGCCCTCAGTGGGCAGGGACTCTGTGAAAATGGCCACCAGGTGTAAAGAAGGAGTGGAAGGACTGAACATCTCGTCTCTGATGGAGAAGGCAGAGGGGCTGAGGAGGGCGCTGGAGGAGGAGAGGGCGTATGTGGAGCGGTCGGGGAGGGGTCACTCCTGTGAGGTGGTGATGGACCCAGCTCAGGGACAGCTGGCTGTCATGTACAGGGGAGCACGCTCTGACAACTTCATGCAACAGCTGTTGAACAGGTGAGGACCCAACAAGGTCAAGTGGATTGTAAGGCTGCTTAATAACAAATGGTAGTTTAACTAAAGGAATAGTTTGACATTTTGGGGAAAAGTCTCATTTGGCATATCTTACCTTTTAAGGAATAAGTAATTGGTTTCAGCACCTCTGAATCAAATACACGAGACTTTTTTGCTCTTCTCATCTTACTCTCAGCTTTAAAGTGAATAAGTATATTTCCGAAAACACTTTTTTTTTTAATATTCTTTGTGAAATCATATGATTAGTTTTGCATAATGACACAACAGGAATAAGTAAAACATAAATAGATAATGCATACAATTTTAAAGTAACAAAAAAACAGACCACAAAGATACTAATTGGAGTCATAGCAAATAAAATAAGTATAGATTAACATATCTATCTTCTCGGGGCTAGAGTTGAGTTGCGGTTGTCACTACAACAATGATCCTGTTTGAATAGTCTGTATTGCAAACTATCCTTTTCGATGGGAGACTGCTAACACTTCATTTTTTGTGGTAAAGCTTGGACAACTTAACTCAACTTATCTTGTGTTTGATAAATATAGAGTGGACGGGAAAGACGTGATCAGCGTGCCCCAGCGGCGGCTCTCGTTCGATTGTAAGAGCTCCAAGCCGGTGTTTTGTCAGCAGGGCGACATCATCAGTCACACCACCAGTCGTGACGATATGGAGAAGGTACTTTGTTAGTTGCACTTTAATTTATTTCTCTTTAGTCGGACACAAACTGACACCATGTTTACATTTATAATAGTGATAAAACAAACTGACTAGGAGGAAGACACAACTCACTTTCATTTAATGCATCAAGCTCTCAGGTTTCAGCCGTGCATCACTGAAGTTCAGTACAGTACATTTACTCAAGTACTGTAATTAAGTACAAGGTACTTCTACGTTATTTGAATATTGCCATTTTATTCAACTATATACTTCTCCTCCACTACATATCACACAAATGTAGTGGAGAAAATAGTACAATATGTGTCTCTGACAGCTAAAGCATCTTTCAGGTTGCAATTTTTTTTATTCCCTTCCTGTCCAGTGAAAACCACACCATGTCTCTCCAGATGTGTTGATTTTTAATGTTTCTGATAAACTGTAGGATGAAGTGTTCCCTTGAGGTTGAGAAAATCCTCCTTCTATCTAGGCTAAAAAAAACCTAATAAAAACCCTCTCGCTGTAAAATCCTTCATCACAAAGCTGAAAACGGGGTTATTTTTCTGAGCTCATGAAAAGTTGACTTTTTAGAGATACATGGTTCTTACAGGACAGCGATTTGGTATTTTTACTTTTACTTAGTTACAACAAGGAACTTTATTTTGTGTTTGATTTTGGCGGTCCCTGTGGAAGAGAGTGGTGGTTTTTCCGAGCACCAGAGACCCTTTAGAAGACCTCATTTTACTGCAGAAGGGTCTGACATTCTGCTACGAGCAGTCCTTGTTCTGGTTCTCTCGTGGCTTCCGTCCCTACAGCGGGCCCAACCATACAGCCTGGGTCTCCAGCAGCGGGGTGTCTGTGTTGGCTTCCTGCGGGGACCGGCAGAGCAGCAGGGCAAAGCTCAGCTCCTGGTTGGAGGATGAGCGGCGGCTGCCCGCGCTGAGCTCTCTACCTCCCGCCAGAGCTTCGGAAGCAAAGCCGGATCTGGGTCGGTCTGCGGTGGGCTGGGTCCCTGCCAGAAACCCCTCTGGAGTCTGCGCTGACGGAGTATCTGGTGAAACGGCATGATTTCATCTAATTTCACGAGGAATGGCACCAATGACAAGTAATAAGATAACTATGTAGGAAGAGCCAATCTCCCGCTGATGGTCTCTTTATGTAGGTCATTTAGAGACGTCAGTATTAAATTGAGATTGTATCATAATCAGTTCAAAGTTCCTTGCAGTAACTTTAAGAAAAATAATCTGAATACCTCTTCTAGCCCTGGTGAAAGTTGTTCAACATCGTATCATTTTTCACGGCTGAACTTGGGTTCTACTACTGTTCCACTAGTTTCCTGCATATTGGTGTGAAGAGCCGACTTTTGGTACATTCTCTCCATCTGCTGCTTTGTTTTTTCATGCAGGGATCAGACAGAATCGGCAAGATCACATCGGATGAAAATCTTGCAGACTCGGTTCACTCTCAACACTTTGCAGGTAAGACTGTCTGTCAGGAATTTACCAGAGCAAAGAAAAATCACATTTTTGAAGGTTTATGAGCTTTAATTTAAAAAAAGATCAGAGTGTTTCTGCCTATACTACAATCCAGACGGTTTTCAATCAAACCTAATTTGCACAGTGAGGGAAAATAAATTGGCTCATACCTTAATTAGCATATCAAGGGGAAATAAAGGAGGTCACGCCCCAGAGGAATATCGATTCACAACTTCAGTAAAAGATCATATAAATGTGATATTCATTAATTTACTCATTTATCTCTTCATTCCTTTGTGTATTTTTATTTATTAATTTGTTTATGTGAGCGTGCTGTTTATTCATTTATGCTGTTCACATCAGTCAGTCTCTGAATTTCTCCTTTCTCTGCAGGTTCTGGTGCTTCCACGTACACCCTGGACAGCGGCATCGGTACGTTCCCCCTGCCCGACTGCAGCAGCGGTGCGGCAGGACGGAGCCTGTCCAAGACGAGGGCGGGGGCCGAGCGCCACTCTTCTGGCTCCCCGGGGAGGGCCGGCCGACGGGCCCGCACCCTAGACAGAGAGCCGACGTCCCAGGATGAGTGCTACGTGCCTCACAAACAGCTGATTCCTAGCATTCATTACGGCGCCGTGCTGGAGGGAAGAAGCTCCGTCGGCGTCATACGTGAAGGTGCATAATAGCATTCAGGGCATTGTTAGACGTCACTTAGTTGTATTATGTACCCTCCATACATTATGCTTTTGTACACTTGTTACATGATGTAGTCTGCAACCTTGTATTGCACTCAAATAAACATAAAAGCAGTGATTCTATAACAGGAAGTGTTCATCTAATAGGAAAATATTCTGATATCTTTGTCATCAATTCACAAGGTTGAGGTACTTCCCATACTGTAGTTTAGACTGACAAGGTACTGAAAATGAAACAATACTAAAGAGTCTACAGTTGTGCTGTGAGGTTGTGAAGAACAGAGACATTGCACAAAAAACTACAAACCAAAGTCAGTACAGATGCATCCTCTGGGGAACATGAACGTATGTACAAAATACCAGATATGAGATATTTCACTTTTTAAAAGCGTTTGTGCTCCTGATGGATCATATTTAGTAATGACGTGTGGAAACGAGATGAAACGAGTCTTCAAATTCTCCATCTACAGACAACGAGGTCTGTGGAGCGAACATGTTTTCCCCTCGCTCCAAGACTTGGACCTTCCCCAACCTGAAGACACCAGCAGGACCTGCAGAGGTTTACCTGGCAGTGGAGGAGGAGGAAGAAGAGGAGGCCGTGTCCTTTGGATCTCCATTCAGAGGGGTAGGGATGCTGTATTATTACGACAATGACATTATTTAAAATATTTTACTACGACTTTTTGGGTTATAGTATGACTTTCGTGAAAAAAATCAAAGACAAACTATCACTTTTTCAACATACTATACTATGTCTTGTTTCCTCAAACTATCCTGACTTTTTAGGATTTTTTGGGAAATACTATAAAATTACTTTTTTTGACTGACGTTTCCCGAAAAACTAATGACATTCTATGCCATCTCGTTTTTCGACATGCTGTATTATGACTATTCTAGATACTTAACTATGATATTTTTATGATGTTTTTATCAAGATATGTGACTTGAATTCCTTTTTTTGACTTATAATACTATGACGTTTATAGACATACTATACTATACATTTTTTTGACATTCTATAATATACATTTTTAGATTTACTTTACTATGAGTTTTTTCCACATACTATATTATGTATTTTTTATGATTTGTGCTATATAGTATGAATTCTGTATGACTTTTTTCGACATACTATACGATTACTTTTTCATGACATGGTATAACCTTCGATTAGGAGAAACTCCCCAAATAAAATGCTTTAACAGGGGAAAATATGGAAGGAACCTCATGAAGCACAACAGTGGAGGGATCCCTCTTCCAGGATGGACATGCATGCAGTAGATGTCGTGAATACCTAGTAAACCCAAAAAGCAAAATTATGGTAAATCAGGAGACAATGTAACAGTCATTTTTGTAAGTTATTATTCTTGTTCTCCCCAAATGAATGTGTTTTATTTGATCTCTTCTTATTGAAAAACTGCTGTTCAGGAGCATGCTTAAAGGAATTATCTGGGTCACTAACAGACTGAAAGTACTTTGCAGGTTGAGATACATTTTTAAATCTGCACTCACATCTTACATAATGTAAAAACACAGAACCACATTCTCCCTTTAGAAATTATTAATCAGCTGAGTATTCATTAAAGATTCACAGTTGTATGCTTTATGTAACCCACTTTTGTTTTTTTGCACCTAAAGGCGTTACATAAGACGAAAGACATGACCTAAAATGTTTCTCACCCCATTGTGCGTCCCTTTCAGAGCATGAAGGCCGGCGGTCCCTCCTCCAGCCGGGTCATCGACCCAGGCAGCTTGCCCGTCCCGGCCCAGTCGGGGATGATCCGCAGGGGGAAGACTCTGACTCCCAGCGTCCCTGAGATGAGCAGGGAGGCCGGGCTGGAGCTGCTCCGGGAGCGGCCGGAGGAAGCTCTCTCCCCAAGCCGCCCTCAGGTCCTGGAGACCCCCGAGTCCCTCAGCGATTCTCTGTACGACAGTCTGTCATCCTGCGGAAGCCAAGGATGATCCGGCCGAGGATTGGGGAGGACGGAGAGGAGCTCATCTTTACCATAGACAATAAGACACAGCCCCGGTCTGAACATGTCTCCTGGTTGCTGGCTGTGCTGTGATGCTGCTGACCCACCGCCATCTTTAAAGAAGAGAAACTGTGCTCTGTAGATGTTCGCAAGCATATTGTGGTGATGCTTTCTCATCAGCTATTTCTCTGTTGCAACTGGAAAGAGATCAATAGACTTCTCCTCAGGATTTCCTATTAACGTGAAGCCAAAAGTCCCCCACCCCCCCAAAGTCATATAGGTTGTTCACCTTTTTCACAATCGGACTCTTCAGTGGACACTCTTTAATTCATGTATAGAGGACTACAAAACGCATGGCTATGCTAATGGTTAGCACAAAAGTTGTCACTCTTGGTAGTTGTTCAGCAACTTCGTCTTTTGTTTTGAATTATCTTGGTAGACAGATCGTCGTGTGCATCAAGGAAGAGCTGATCAGTTCAATAGCCGACGATCTGCATCAATACATCCATTCTGTTCTGGACATTTCATCACATAATATATTGGAAAAAAAAAAAACATCGAGCTCCTTCAAAAAATGAATGTTAATGTCTGTGGTTCTTAATTGCTTAACTCATGCATCACGATTTTAAATGTACAAACGATTTTATTGAACATGTTGATATCGTTTTGCGACCGATTGAAGGTTGTCAGAAAATGTCTGTTTTAAATCATAATACATTTAAAGGTAATATATACCAGCAATAATAACATAGATAAGAGAAATGGCTACACTATTCAATGAATATGTATTTCTATTTATTTATTTTAAATGTACATCATTTGCAGTCATCTTATTATCTCTTTGTAATCTTTCTGTGAAATTGCAGTCTCTTCGCTTAGTAGATTATGTTCATATCTTGTACTTCAACATCTCCGTTGCTGTTCGTTCCCTAGCCAATAGAGGTCCTATGTACCTACTGCCATTTTTCAACTTTCTAATTAAAATGTTTTGATTTACTTCTTCGTGTGAAGCAGTTATTTTGGCCGGTCGAATCAATAGGTGGAAAGTGCATTTACTTAAGCGCTTTCTTACAATACACATTGAGAAATTGTGCTCAGAGTACACCACCAATTTAGCAGAAACTGATATTGTATCTATTCAACGCATTCCTTATGTCAGAAACCTACATTACCCATAATGCAACTCTCACACAGAACATTTTGTTGGATTGTTACACTAGTAGCAGCTAATGCAGCAGTGAGCGGCACAGCGTTGTGGGAAGTTCACTTCTTTCAAACTCCATATTGATTTATCTATATTTAACAATCTAGTAGTTTTGTGAGTTGCTTTGTTAATCTTAAACTAAAGACGTCTCATGTAGTGCAGTAAAACAATATTTTCCTCTGAATTGTGGAGTAGAAACTACCGTATAAAATGGGAATACCGTTTACGCATTATAATTTTACTAACAAAATATACTTCTGATCATTGTGGTAAATTAAACATGTAGATTGAACTGTGTAAAAAAACTAGATTCCTGTACACAATGCATCAGTAATAACCTCATAACAGCATTTTCAGCAGTATAAGTGTGTACTACGCCATGTACATTTTGATGATACACTAAAAGTACTTTTAAAGGTATGTAGAATGTTCCTTTTAGCAGCATTTTTGGGACTGCAACTTGTTTTTTCATCATTGATTGATCTTCTGATAACATTGATTAATCATGTAATCTATCAATAAATGGCCAAGTTGATGTCTTCAAATGATTTTTTTGACCAAACAAAAGTCCAAAATATTTTAAATGCAGAACTGTTACTTATAATTAGTAGTTTTGACAGGTATCACTATATTTAATCACTATCTGAATATTCCTTCCATCAGTTATAATTGGTCGACAGAATGAAAAAAAAATCACTTCATTCAAATACGTTCAACACATTTATTTGAGCAAATGTATCAAATTATTAGTTTAAATTTTACATCCATAAAATAAATTCTTCACAGTATACACTTTCAAAAAATCGTAAAGGTTAAAATCACATCATTTGGCAAACTACTTTCTAGACAACAGATGTTTAGAGAAACTTACACTGGGAGAGGCCTGAACAACTCGCCTGCTATCCAAGATGAAGACCGATGGCACAGACTGTTCCTCCTCCTCCAGCCTACGACACCCGAAACCCCAAACGTCTGTCGGAATGAGCTGGTGTAGACCACCATGACTCCGACAGGCTTTTAGGGTTTGTGTCAGTGTTACCAGGTTTCAACATTCTTACTCAAAATGTTGGTCTGAAAACAAAAATTTGTCGGGACAAAAACAATGACGGGGAAATTTCTCAAACGGGGTAATCTATCAAAATCATGGGACACCATATCTTATGACACTCCACTAAAGAGAATGGAGGAAAACTAAAAAAAGCAAATCAACGACTGAAATGAAATAACTTCAAATAAAACAAGGATTAGCCTCAGAAGCTGACATGACCCACTAGAAAAGAGCCCGTCATGTCATTTATGGCACTAAATAATGAGTATGTTCATTAAGTGCTGCTCAGCTTCCGGGAGTCTTCATAGGGCAACACTGCCCTCTACAGGCCAAGCATGTTCACTGCAGCATTAGTCTAATTCTCCATTCACAGCCATGACAGGGACTAGCATTAGTTTACCATAAACTTGCATTCAACCGTTGTTGAAAGTTTGAAAAATAAATCAAAAGAATTTCAATAATATAAGACCACATAGGAGTTAATTCAATAAATGAAGACAGAAAGTGAAAAGCACCACGTGCGTTGCACATTGTGCCTCTTCAGACTTTAATTATCCAAACGTTCTTTACTTCTTTTCCTTCTTCTTTTCCTGAAACAGACAAATAATCAGAGTTGTAAGAAACACATTCATTAGAAATCAAATGTTATGAAAACCAAACGACATTTTCCACTTTACTCCAGTGGTGTGTGTAGTATATACACTGCTCAAAAAAATAAAGGGAACACTTAAGCAACACATCCTAGATCTGAATGAATGAAATAGTCTTATTAAATACTTTGTTCTTTACATAGTTGAATGTGCTGACAACAAAATCACACAAAAATTATCAATGAAAATGAAATTTATTAACCCATGGAAGTCTGGATTTGGAGTCACACTCAAAATTGAAGTGGAAAAACACACTACAGGCTGATCCAACTTTGATGTAATGTCCTTAAAACAAGTCCAAATGAGGCTCAGTAGTGCGTGTGGCCTCCACGTGCCTGTATGACCTCCCTACAACGCCATGTGCTCAGTGGAACCTGCTTTCATCTGTGAAGAGCACAGGGCGCCAGTGGCGAAGTTGCCAATCTTGGTGTTCTCTGGCAAATGCCAAAACGTCCTGCCCGGTGTTGGGCTGTAAGCACAACCCCCACCTGTGGACGTCGGGCCCTCATACCACCCTCATGGAGTCTGTTTCTGACTGTTTGAGCAGACACATGCACATTTGTGGCCTGCTGGAGGTCATTTTGCAGGCCTCTAGCAGTGCTCCTGCTGTTCCTCCTTGCACAAAGGTGGAGGTAGCGGCCCTGCTGCTGGGTTGTTGCCCTCCTACGGCCTCCTCCACGTCTCCTGATGTACTGGCCTGTCTGCTGGTAGCGCCTCCATGCTCTGGACACTACGCTGACAGACACCGCAAACCTTCTTGCCACAGCTCGCATTGATGTGCCATCCTGGATGAGCTGCACTACCTGAGCCACTTGTGTGGGTTGTAGACTCCGTCTCATGCTACCACTAGAGTGAAAGCACCGCCAGCATTCAAAAGTGACCAAAACTTCAGCCAGAAAGCATAGGAACTGAGAAGTGGTCTGTGGTCACCACCTGCAGAACCACTCCTTTATTGGGGGTGTCTGTCTTGCTAATTGCCTATAATTTCCACCTGTTGTCTATTCCATTTGCACAACAGCATGTGA